TAATAATAATAAGACTAGTAATAACACATTGGAGAATATCAGGCAGCCAGTCTGGGAAGTTCTTTTTATGAGGTAGATTTTATGCCAAGCTGCCTGCACCAGTAGGGTTTCTCTGATGGTATAGAGGGTATATCTCAGTTGTCCTCTAGTAATTCTTTCAACGACTTGGGCTTTGGACCCTCCATGATGATGGATAGGTCCTGCAGTCCTGTGGCTATGAGAGACTGTTGTTGTTAAGTGCTATCGAGTCGGTTCCAATTCATAGTGATCCTGTATAGGGTTTCTGAGGAGCAGCTAGTGAGTTTGAACCTCTAACCTGTGGTTCGCAGGCCATTGCTGATCCTACAGCACCATACCGGGAGTCCGATAAGAGTTAATGTTTTCAGTATCAGATTGACTTGGATGTTTTGACTGGAGAATTCAGGATGCAGGAGATATAAAAAAGAGTTTTTGTTCCATTTTTTAGTTGTTTTTTTTTTTAGCTCCCATCAAGATTTACAGTCTCAGAAACCCTATACAGGGTCACCAAGAGTCGGAACTGACTCCATGACCAACTACCACCACCACCACATACCTGGAGGGAGTCCCAGGGTAGTGCAGTTAATGGATTCAATTGCTGACCAAAAGATTAGCAGTTTGAGTTTGCCCAGCAGCACCCTGGAAGAAATGTCTGGCAATTGACTTCTGGAAAAATCAGCACTGAAAACCCTGTGGAGACAATTCTCTGACATATACATGGCATACACATGAGCTAGAAACAGGTTTATGGCAGTTGGTTGCTGATGTGGAGGAAGGTTATTGAGTATTTCAGGAAGAGGAGAATTCATATAGCATATTAAACTGCCTCTTAGCATTAACACAATAGTGTGTGGAAGATTGAAGTAGAACATGCTGTTTATCTCACTGTGATCTTTAAGGGTCTCCAAGAATGGGAAATGTTATAGATTCTCTGCCCTTGGCAATGGATCTTGAGTGGGGAAAGATATGAACCTCTACATTAATGTCTTTAGTTGCTTACATTGCTCTGGAAACTCAGCATATAAGTGCAGAAAAACTGGAGTTTCAGGACTTCATTGCTGAACAAGCAAAACAAAGAAACAAAAGAAGAAATGTGATATTCCATGTACTTACCTCTGCCACTGGAGTCTTACCATCCATGTTTTATTGGCCGAGTTTTCAGGAAAACATATTTTTTTCTCTTAGGTCTTTATCTGTTTATTATTATTTTTTTTTCCACCAACCTGCTGTTTCAAAAAGGTCAGTAATTTGTCATATTCTTATTACTGCTTATTAAAGTGAAGAATGCCTGAAGATAGAAAAAGCTAAAAATGCTCAGAACATACTTTTTAATGCTATTGTTTTTTAAGATGAACATGTTTAGGGGCATAGGTAGTATTTACAAGTGAGTATCTATCATGATTTTTTTTCTCCGAGGAAATGGTTATCTTTTATAATCCATTGGAAATAGCCTTCACGGTCCCTTTAACTCTAAGAGGATATGGCTCTCTCCGCAGAGTTTGTGAAGGGAAGCTGTACAAGTCTTTGATTTTCTGCAGTAGTGTTTGAAAGATGAAGATGTCAAGATGGATGACAGCTGATGAACTGAATGCTCAATAGTTCATCACCTTGGTTTTTCCAGAAACCATCTCTTGTCCTTGCCTGGTAAATTGAAATCACTTGACTTCGTTGCAACACCTGACAGGAGTCAAATCCCCACAATATCCAGGCAGGAGTAAATTCTTTTAGCATCACATATCTTCTGCTGTCTGGGCCAGTTAGGCCAGTGGGTTAAGGTATAGAAAAGATGAGACTATGGTCATGTTCTGTTGACCCTTGTTGGCTCTCCTCACTCTAAGGAGAAGCGCTCTAGGATCATGGCTCCAACCTGCTGCACTGTTCCAAGAAGCCACATTATTTTCAACCTTCTCATAGGCATGTAGAAGCTGGACAATGAGTAAGGAAGGCCAGATAATTGATAGTGCTGGCAAAGAATATTGAATATAGCAGGGACTGCCAGAGAATGAACAAATCTATCTTCAGATTTATTTGAAGACAGATTGGATGATGCTCCTTAGAAGTGAGGATGGTGAGACTCGCAAACTTAGAATATGTCATCAGGAGAGGCCAGTCCCTGGTGAAGGACATCAAGTTTGGTAAACTGGAGAGTCAATGAAATAGAAGAAGAACCCCAACAAGACAGATTGTCACCGTGCCTGTAAACATGGGTTTGAGCATAGCAACAGCTGTGAGAATGACCCAGGACTGGTTTAGTCCTGTTGTACGTGGGGTTGTTATATATATGTCAGAACTGACTGGACCTAAAAACAACACTAGCAGTAATTGATGTATTTTTATGACATCTTGACATAAACAATACTAAAGAATCTTAATAAAGATTTTAATGTACCTGATGCGGCATCAACTCTAACTTCAAATTACAAAGAATCATTGTTTGTAATCACTGACTCTGTTCTTGTTAGGTGCCATTAAGTCAGTACCAGATCATAGTGACCCTATGCTCAACAGAACGAAACACTGCCCGGTCATGGCCAACCTCACAATTGTTGCCACGTTGGAGCCATTGATGCTGCCACTTTGCAAATCCGTCTCTCTGGGAGTCATCTCTTTTCCTCTGACCTTCCACCTTACCAAACATGATGTCCTTCTCCAGCGATTGTTCCCTCCTAACAATATGTCTGAAGTATGAGAGATGAAGCTTGGCCATCCTGGCCTCCAAGGAGCACTCTGACTGCATTTCTTCCAACACAGATCTGTTGGTTCTTTTTGCAGCCCATGATACTCTCCAACACCATAACCCCAAAGCATCAATTCGTCTACAGTCTTCTTTATTCACTGTCCAGCTTTCACATGCATATGAGGTTATTGAAAATACCATGGCTTGGGTAAAGTGCACCTTAGTCCTCAAGCTGACATCTTTGCTCTCAACACTTTAAAAAGGTCTTGTGCAGCAGATTTGCCCAAATGCAATACGTTGTTTGATTTCTTGACTGCTGCTTCCGTGAGTATTGATAGTTGGTCCA